GTGACCTCACTCCCTCAAGAACTATGTCACAAACTGGACTTTCTTTTAGTTCTTTTGCAGAGTCGTTATAAATGAAACTTTTTTTTCACACTGTCTTAAAAAAGAAGTGTTCCTGTATAAAATTGTATCACATTCCTAAAGGCATGAGGTTTTTTGTTTTGTTTGGGTTTATTTTTCACCATCATACCTGTATTTCACATTGTTATGTAAAAAGGTCTTTGTCGTCAATGAGTTCCTAAGTCTCAAGAGAAACTCTTGTCTAAATAATGGATAAAATAAGTAAATAAATTGTGCAGAGCCACTTATGTGCATCCTAAGTGTGTCACAAGACGTTTAAGGTGAGACTAAGAAACTATTTGAATCAAACTGAATGAAGATATCTTCTACTGATGTATTTGTTCTTAATTATCCATCAAGGAGGGTGAGATGTATACATTTGCAGCTCCTCCAGAGTCACCATGGGCCTTTTCTGATTCTTATCTGCCTCTTTCATTTCCGAATGATGGTGTGATGTTCTCAGTTCACAGCTTACCTAACTCCAAATTTTACTTTGTGACCTGCCTGTTCATGGGATTTTATTTGTGGTAACAGTGTAGCAGGAGCTAAATATAAACACCCATCCACTTATTAAGACTTTGATTAGCAAGCAAAAATTAAAGCATTTAACATTTCCCTTCCACATTATGATTCTGCACTACTTTATATTAGTCATTTAAGCGGTCTAGCATATAGCCATTGATTTCAAAGTTATTTTGTCTCATTTTGTCAGTTTCTTATTTTTAAATTTATATAAATGTAAAAATATATATCTCAAATAACTCTCATTGACCAGACTGGTTGCTATCTAATATGTCTGCAGAGATTTCCTTTGTTTACAGTATTTGCTTCCAACTCCATTTATGTTTCAAACCCTTTGCTGGTTGTTCTTTATGATCCATTATTCGTTGTAATTATTTACATTCAGCATTACATTGCTTTGTCAATGGATTGTTTCTAAATAACCCTTTTTGGTTTTTAGTATCCACCTTTTCATGGGTTTTATTTTGCCTTACATTTTCTTTTACTGAGTCCTACCAGAGGTCTCCTCTGCAGGTTTTAGACATGCATGTGGCTTGATGGGTCCTGCCTTGCACCTGAAATGGCGTTCGGATCAAGGGAAAAACAATGCCTCCAGTGCTGCTCAGGCCATCTTCAGAACTGTGAGTCCTATGTTTGATCAGTCTGTTCACAGAACCATCTGGTTAGGAAAACAGTATTGAGAATATCAATAAAAAAAACCAAGCTGAACCTACCCCTGGAAGACTTTAGGTGTCAGATGCTGATTTTTTGGGGAAAGGAGACGATGATAACAATTTTACTGAGCAGCAGGTATTCTTACCTCCTCTGATTCCCACAAGCCTGGCACAGGCTTGAACAACACCAGACTGGAGGTCAGCCAGAGCTTGTTTTAATGAGACTGAAGCCACACCAAAGGCTGCTGTACTTGTCGTCACTTCAGAGCAAACGTGCCACGTAGTCCATGTGATGAGAGCCAAAGTTGGCCCAAAACAGTCCTCTGCCTGTAATTACTCTTTGTTATCAGACTAATCTTTTTTTTTTATCCCTGAAACGGTTTTAGACATCTATACCTGTGTGTCTTAAATGCAGTCAGGGTTTGGTTTGATAGTGCTTAACAATGTAAAATAAGACTCAAGTGGTTTTGTGTTGAGAAAAAACTGCTTTTCAACATCGCTGACTGATATCTAGTCTAGTTGAGCACATGAGGAAACAGCACAGGTGCAAAATGAAGGACATGGTTATGTCTACTTACCATGGCTGCACTCCCCTAACCTTCATCTTTACAGTAACTTTCAAAGTATTTTCACCCCTTTGACTTTCCCATGTGTCATATTACATTCATGAAAAGTGATTACTTTGATTGGGATCTGATATGATAGATTAGTACAAGGTATGGAAAATACATGTCCTATAGTGTCTCATTTGCTTTAATCCATTTAATCAGTCCTCAATAAAATAGTCTCTAGACAGAAATCCAAAGCTGGGTAATTTTATATAGCATCAACCAAGCCATCCTATGAAGGTCTCAGAGGTTTGCTAAAGAACTTAAAGTGAAACAAAAAACAAACAAAAAAATAACATTCCTATGGAGATCAAAGTATATGGGTCAAAGAAAAAGTTGTTGAGAATTTTAGATCAAGGTTAGGTTATAAAAACGGTATTATGAGCTTTAAATATCTCACTGATTTAAATCCCTCGCTAGAAAATGGGAAGTTAAGAGCACATTTTAAAAAAACAACATTCTGAAAATGGATTGGTCAATACAACAAAAAAATTGGTTGAGTTTCACCAATCTGGTTGGTAGTTATGTGTCCAACCAATCTTTTTGTTAAAACGACTAATCTAATTTTGTAGTGTTTTTAACCAACCTATATTAGTAAAAGGACAAACCAATACAAATTGCTCACTTTCACCAAAATATTGGTTTAGCGGTTTAGCAGCTTTAACATCCAAGGCCAGGACTCAACCCAACAAACCAGGGCTCAACTATAGGGCAAACTCATAGGTCCAAAGCTGCTATAAAGGATAACATGTCCCCGTATTTATTACTACCTAATACTAATGTAAAAACCATGGTTAAAACCAAGATTTGCATGCTGTACATGAACAGATCATTGTGATCATTCTCCACCTCCATAACTATTACACACAGCACTTGACCACAGCCAAACAGTCAGATTAGTAAATGATAAGTAACCATTTTATTGGTTGTTTTGCTAACCAATTAATTTGGTTGATCAAAAACCATTGGCTTGGTCAGTTTCTGACCAGAATATACACTTAAAAAAATTGTGCAACTGCTTTTGGCCTTTAGTTAATCATGTTTTGTTACTTTAACACAATTGTTTTATATCCTACCCTGCTAACATGAAACAATTGTGTTTAAATAACTAAATATGATTAAGTAAATGTCAAAAATGGTTGCATTATTTTTTTCAGTGTAGGTTAATCTAACCAGTTTAACCAACTAGATTGGTTGTTTTTCCACCCAATCTAATCTTAGAGTGTACCAAGATATAGTGTTCAACTAAACTGACAGGCAAGGCAAGTAGAACATTATTCTGAGAAGCAGCAAATAAGTCAACAGTAACTCTGGAGGAATTACAGATATTCATGCATTAGGTGGAAGAATCTATTAGCAGGACAACTGTTAATCATTCACTCCACAAATCCAACCTGTATGTAAAACTGAAACAAAAGAAAAAATGACATTAATTATGCTTACCACAAGCCATGTAGGGAAAACAGCAGCCATGCAAGTCACATAAAACCAATAAATCAAACTTTCTGGTTTCTCACTTAACAGTTGAAAACAAACACTGTATTCCCTGCAATCCCCACGCTAAAGCACGGTGATGGCAGCATCAGCATGAACATATCATCCATGCCTTTTTGCTGGATGTCAACCATAACATGAAGCTAGAACTGAACTCTTAGAATGGCTGAGTTAAAGTATAGAATTAAATCAAAAAACCTATGGCAAGCTAATTATGTTTTATTCGTCTCTTGTGAACCTGACAGTGGCATGACTCTGACCCACAGCCCTAAATGTGTACATTTTCTCAGATTCTTATTCCTAAAGGGATTTGAACAATAAATGATTTTCCATCCACTTCACTATTGTGCTGCAGTGGCGGTTCTAGACCAAATGTACCAGGGGGCCAGGAGGGGGCCAGCATTGTTTTCATGGGGCGCAGAAAAGCATGAAATAAAAAACAGGGCAAGGGATTCAAATATATTAAGAGAGCTGCATGAAGAAAATTTTTTTATTCAATTAGGTTTAATTAAATTTCTATGTCTTATTAGGTCAATATATATATTAATAATTTAGGAATTTTACATATTTTTGACTTAATTTAAGTAAAAATGACGTTTTCTGTCAAATCTGAATTAGAACTCAAGAAAAACTGATAAATTCAGCTGCAAAAATGAGTTTTGTTTTTCGTATTTGTTTTGAAAAAAAATATTTAGCAGATGAAAACTGGGATTCTATTTCAATACCACTGAAGCTATCACCTTGTTGTTTTTAAATAATTAGTAAAACAGAATTTGTAAAAATAAATAAGTAAATACATTAAAAAAAGAAAAGAAAAGAAATAGATCCAAAGGACCTACCTATCAGTAACCATGTCTGTTCCAGAGCATATCCAGTATTATGTCTTCGGTACAGGGGCAATATTAGGGGCCAGGACATGAGCTACATGGGCACTGGCCCCTGTTGGCCCCTGTCTAGAACCGCCCATGTTGTGCTCTATTATACAATGTTTGAATAAAGTGTGAAGGTAGCTTGGTTCATTCTGGGGTTAAAATTCAAGCCTTTACTGGTAGCCTAGGTCATGTTGTTATAGTGCGTAAAATGGCCAGAAATAGTGCGCACTATGAGCGCAAATATCGAACTATTTCAGAATTCTATTAACTAGTCGATATTTGACGTGTATCAGAACAATAAAGTTAAATGAAATAAGATTACTGGGAATTTTCGAGACTTCTTATCTAAGAATACCTTCCAACGGTTTCTCTGCGCATCTTTGCGCATAATTTTTTGTTTACATTTTATTCTAATGGAATGCTGAATCCTGTCGTTTCACACCCAAAGCGACCTCACCGATTCACCGTACATGTTAAACGGCTTAATTATTGCAAGAGACGGATGCCAAGTCATCTAACGCAGGTATGCGCACTGCGCGTCCACGAAGCTCTCCATGCGGAGAGTTGCTCCGGCGCGCACACATGGAGAACTTCCACAGATTTCAGATCTGAGTCCAGTACTTTGCAAGTTTCTCCCTCTGCTGTGAAAAAGCTGGAAAGCGGGAAGCCTGGAGACGCTTTGGTTCATAATTGATGTTTTCCCAAGGAGGAGGAGCCAGCTTCCTCCATGAAGGGGAGACTAACCGTAAGGTGGGAGAAATCCTTTTTTTTTTCCAGATTTTTTTTTTCTTTTTTCAGTGGGATAACATCAGGAGGGTTTGTCTAGGCGAGCCAATTAGGTCCCACCCCTGCTATAGATCGCTGCTATAATACAAAGCAGTAAAAGCGCTCAGCTCACACAAGCGACTGCAGTTTTAACCAGAGATCCCGTGGCTTTTAATTCTCTCACTACTTTTCTTTTTTTTTTTTTATCCTCTGTCAATGTGCCCCGTTACTACCGTCTGACTGAGGCGCTCATTTCCGCACCTGCCGCGGTAAGACACTAAGAGAAGCGGGTGGAAAGAGGAAAAAAAAGAAGAGAGGAGACAAGGACATCGGAGGCTTTGACAAAACAGCAGCAGCGGTTCCTCGTTATTTCTTTCTTTCGTTTTTTTTTTTTTTTTTTTTTTTTTTTAGATCTTTTTCTTTTATGTTTAACATGCATCAGCGCTGGACCACAATCGCATCTGTGGCTCTCATCTGCTTGTCCTTGGTGTCCTACGCGGTGGGATGCGGACCGGGCAGGGGCTACGGCAGGAGGAGACACCCCAAGAAGCTGACACCTCTGGCGTACAAGCAGTTCATCCCCAACGTGGCGGAGAAGACCCTGGGGGCGAGCGGTAGATACGAGGGCAAGATCACACGGAACTCCGAGCGCTTTAAAGAGCTCACTCCCAATTATAACACAGACATCATCTTCAAGGATGAGGAGAACACAGGAGCAGACAGGATGATGACTCAGGTAAGCGCACAGAATGATTATATATATATTTTTTTCATTTTCCTCCTCCACCATCAACGCGCACTGCAACAGCCTCGCTGTCAGACTGATTGCGCACGTTAGCTGAAGTCTGAACTCTTCACACTGAGCCTTTTAACTTCACTGTAAATGCAGATGCGCTCCGATGCACCAGCCTGGGACTTTCTCGTATAGAAATCCAGCTGGAGGAGTGATGTGCAGGCGGACAGTCAGGACACTCGGCCTTCATTATTGTGACAGTGGATTTGAAATATTAATGCGCACCCCACCACCCCACCTCTATCTCCTCATATCTATATTTGTATCCGAATGAGGCTCGATTTGAGAGCCCTGCAAAGCCCCATTCTTTGACTCCTTCGCTGCTTCTGGATGATGATGCGCTTCAGACATTTCTTGCACCTGGGTCGTGTGGTTTGTCTTTTGCGTAAGGCGCACAGGGGTGCAGCGAAAGATGTTGCATTTCTTAAAGGGTGGGGATCCATTGGACGTGCACCGGTTGAGCGTTTTTTTTTTTATAACGGTAGATCTTATTGTGAGATTCGATTCCTATTTCCAGGTCTGCAAGATACCGCATCTCTCCATCCTCACTTTTATAATGCAGTGCCTGGTCAGTGATGAAAAAACAGGTTGCTTCGGGTTGATATCGGCTCAGGGAGAAGTGCGACGTCGGTGGTGATGGTGGCGACGGTGGCGCAGTGGAGTCCCTGAACTCGTGCCTTGCACCATGCATGAGCTCCGATGAAATATTCACTGCGCGCGGTCTCTGTCTTCTCCACACACACACACCTCTAGCTGTAAGTTTCCTAAAGATGGGGATTAGGAAATTACAGGCCTGGGAGGATGTGTTTTTTCCAGAACCGCATCATGAGGATGAACTTCAGGGTTCTTTGCATCCTTTTTCAATAGCAATTGAAATTGTGCAGAAAGTTTGTCATTGTTCCTCTAACCACATCAGAAATCTAAGATGGAAATAGTTAAAATTATTGTATGTTTCTGCAGAATGATGCATTTTTTTTGTTGCAGTGCTTGAATATTTTTTCTGGAAAGTTCCATTGGTACACCTCACACATTAATCAGATAAGCTGTTTGGTACTTTTTTAAAGTTAAAGTAGCAATCCTGGTTGCCTTCTTTCCCCCATTTGCAGTACTTAAACCCATACAACGTGCTAGTGGCTGCTGATAGTATAAGCCATGTGCATGGCAATTAGCCAGCGTTGTTTGCGCTGTCCAGTAGTTCTGCGCGCATTGATCCACATAACTTTACGCACGAGAGCGCACGTTATTTATTCTCAGTTATCATATTATTTAGAAAATAGATATCCTGCGTTAATCACACAGACAGTAGTTCGGATAGTTGTACTTTAGAATAAATAAATCAGTTCATTAAAGTCCAGCCAGGACTACTGAATTACAAGCGCACAATCGTCCAATTCATCCCCAGGAAAGTTAATAGCAGTTGCGTTTAGTCAGACACTTTTGGAGATAAACAAATAAAGTGATGCTGAAACTTTCACTGCGACTTTACTGTTCAGTCTTAAAATAATACAAAAAGAATAATAACTTAGATCAACTATTTAAGGTATTTCTTTCTACTGGGCTCCTATTTGGTTTTCTGGTTCTTGGATTAAATCGCCTTCAAAGTGGATATTGATGTAGTGTGAAAATCTCTGCTTGTGAGTTGGGAAAATAAATGCGCCCCCGGGCTTGTTTGCACTGACAGGTAGCTGATAAGTGTTTCCTCTAACCAAATCATTTGTGAAAAAAAGATTAAGAGGCGGGCTGCTGAACAACTCGCCCCTCTGGGGCGCAGGTTTGTAAGGCTCCCTGCTTGGCTTTGCTTGATGCATGGTGGTTTAGCAGAATTTGGCTTGATTTGCGGCACACGACCTGATGAATTAATAAACAGGGTTCAAGCTTTTACGGCTCTTGACTCGGACAATCCACACTTTTGTGAGTCCCCCCCCCCCCCCCCCCCCCCCCCCTCTAAACGGTTTTTTTTTGTTTTTAGCACATTCTACAAGTGTGGTTCACTTATAAAATAGATTAAAGCTCAATTATATGTGAAACCTCAAAAAACTTGAGTTTTCCATGAGGCTCTTCTGATATTTCACATGTCTGTCAGCAAATAACACCTCCACTTAAGGAGGCATGACACGTTTTCCAGGACTATGCAAGAGGGGAATAATGAAAGTTTCCCTCCGCCCTGTGTCTGAAAGGATTCTTTGTGATGTTTTATTTGACATACTGAGAATAGTTGTCCTGGTGAGGGCCAAATATCTTTACTGAGTGCACAGACACACATACACACACATTTTTAGGGAAGATGATCTGTATATCACCTCCAAAATCAACTGTTCATTTTAATTAAACAAATTGTGCATTTATGATGTTGTTCAGATGGCCCATTTTTGTAAAGAAAAAAAGGGTGACTTTTCTTGCACCTTCCAGAGACCAAAGACCCATATGATATAGGGCCAGTGAAGCGAATGCAGTGCTTTATCCATATTTCATGAGCAGCTTTCTTACCCGAGCTGTGCCCTCTGACGCCACTGCTCACACTGAGAAATGCAAGCTCAGGATCTGAGCTGCAGTGTTTTAGCACAGCTGAGAGGATTTATGGATTCAGGTGGAGATGGAGAGGCTTCCCTGAGTCCAAACGCTCATCTTTCATTGCTATTGTTAACAAAAGTATCAGTCTTTGAAATTAGAGTGAAGGATTTGCATTTCATCGTATTTTAAATATCTGCAATAGGTTCAGATCATTTACCTAATTCCTGCTTTCCTTCAGAGATGCAAGGACAAACTGAACTCTCTGGCCATCTCTGTCATGAACCAATGGCCCGGGGTGAAGCTGCGGGTCACAGAGGGCTGGGACGAGGACGGACACCACTTCGATGAGTCCCTGCACTATGAGGGCAGGGCGGTGGACATCACCACCTCGGATAGAGACAAGAGCAAGTACGGTACCCTGTCCAGACTCGCTGTGGAAGCTGGATTCGACTGGGTCTACTATGAGTCGAAGGCCCACATCCACTGTTCTGTGAAAGCAGGTGAGCAGGGGAAAATCAAACAGTTTTTCAAACAGGTGGAGGCTTGTGATGATCATGATATAGCACAGAAAAAACAGCTTTTATCGAGCCCCTTTAGAGTGGTTTGTAAAAATGTAAATTATCAACAATCAATGTAATTTAGTGAAACTTGACTTTCCTCCAAATATAAAGCATCTTAGATTGTCTGAGCACTAGCGGTGGAGGTCAACTCACAGTTTGGCAATATTTAACATGAGAGCTGTGAGGTGTACACTGGCTGTAAGTAGAAATAAGCTAATGGATCCTCAAAAACAGCTGGGGCTCAGGAGGCTTTTCTATACTTACCAGACTGCCTTGCAGAGGATAGTGAGGGGAGCTGCCAACATATTGTACTACTGATTAACTCTGGGTCTGTCAGAGAGTTGATCAGGTGCTGATCTAAAAGGTTTTCCAGAAGTGTGGAGGCTACTGTAAACCATAGGGTGGCTCATCTATCCTTACAAATGTAACAATGAGGTCCCCTGAAGTCAGAATTAATGTTTGGGAAAGTTAGAGGTTATCAACTTGCATAAGGCTGCTATATAAAGTAGTGAAATGTATAAACCATTCAGACATTCAGAATGGAGTATATAACAGTACAAGCTCTATTTTTTGACTTCACAACAGATAAATAGAGAAATATGTTGCTATTGTCAGGTGAAGTCAACAGTAGTTAGCAAAACGACTTCCACAAAAGCTGGTTTTCTGTCCTGCGACTAAAATGTGCTCAACTTGGGTGTGACATCATTCCCAGGTCAAAGGTCTAACTTCTGACACAAATCAAATGCGCAATTGAACTACATACAATATAAATATGATGGTGCAGTGGGGGTGGGGGGACATGTATCAGAAAAGAGAAAAGGGGCTGCTTAAGCTGTATAGGTTCTAGTGTTGAAAAGGACATAAGATAAGAATATATGAAGCTGCAACTCATATATAGACATCATCTCTTCTCTTATCACTGTTTTTTTATGGGTCACGTAGCTCAGAGTGCAATTATGTCACTGGGTAACAAAGCAAAACAAAGGAATTGTGTCTGGTACAATTAAACTTGTTTTCCCATTGAGCTGTCCAGTCAGGGAAATATTACAGTTTTCAAGTAATCATGACTTTATTTGATCACCTTTAAAAATCTCGACTACCAATCTGCACTTTATTATTGTTCTACTCATATTTTTCCAGGAAAAAAGTTTACGATCTAGGACATCTTTATTCATTTTCTAAAAAAGAATTTTTTCTAAATTTTAAGTTTTTTATTTTGACCACTTTATAAATAAGGCTACATAAGATTGCAGCATATGGATTTAAATCTCCTGCAATGATAACAATTGGAAATCTTGTGCTTGATTTATTGTACCTGTTGTTGAAAACAAAGGGTGAAAACAAAAGCAGCCTTTTATGCAAGAACCAACATAGTTTTTTTTTTTACAGTTAGCCATCAGTTGAAGCTCAGTGGGAAAAGAAAATCCTCCTATTTTCTATAGAGACCCTGCAGAGAATAGAGGAGGAAGCTGAAAAAAACCCCATAGAGTCAGAAAAAGGAAACCCAGTAGCCAATCTGGTACAACAGGGAGATTTAAAATAAATAAATAATTTATAGAGGTTTGCCTTTTTATATATTAGTACAATTGTGTCTAGTCAGTGGCCAGAAAAACCATAGGATGACTACTGCCCCGCTTCACCTTGGCCTATGTTGTTTCCTAGTAGGAAAAACCACTGCAGTCTCATCAAGGCTGCAGGCTTTAGTAAAGAGATGTAGAATCACAAGAATAATAAGCAAAAATATTGTATATCATTAAATTATATCACAGATGCATCATAGAAAAACATTTTTTCTTCAGATCTCACTTTGGTTTACCAAAAGTTCTGCTTTTAATCTATCTTAGTGTACCATAACAGACCAGGCTTCGATTGCGTGATGCTCAGGTTGCCTTTCTACTAGCAGATTAACCGTTGCGCTTCTCTCTGGCCAAACGTTATTGATAAATCCCTTATTTCTCATTCCACTCACACTTTCTGAGATCACAGTATGCTCCTGGACGGCAAGTCATCAGGGGTCATGCGACTTTACAGAAGGGATTTGGCTGAACAATGTTGGCAAAATCTGGTTTGCAGTTGTCACCTCATTTCATGCTCGGGGACCTTAAAAGAAGATTAAAAGCCCCCAAATTCTAAGTAGGAAAACCACTCTTTTTTTTTTTTTTCTTTCTGCATGATCCTTAAAACTGGTATGTGAAGAGCTCCACCAAGGCCAAAATTATTGTCATCAAGACTAACAACAAAGCAAGGAGAGGTGGTAGACAGGGTGGTGGTGAAGGGGGGGGGGCATTGATGTTACACAACAGAAAGCATTTAAGAGTCCGGGGGCACTCATTTAAATTCAAATCTACAACTCAAGAGGCTTGGAAAAGTGGCTCCACTGGGTAAATAGTAGTTGTGAGTCGCCTATTTGTGTGAATTGTCACATGGAGGTTTCTGCACCTGAGTAAATATGGGGAGAGAAGCTGGGAAAAGCGTGAGTGTTCTTTACAGAGAGCAGCTTCATCCACGAAGCTGATTTAGAATAACAATGCTTTTTCTTTCTGGGGCTTTTTTTTTTTTTTTTTTAATTAAGGGTAGATGAGGCCTGGCTTTTAGGGTTTTACAAGCCAATCCAATCCACATCGGACACCAAGGAGCATGCAAGGCATCAACATGCAAAATGCATACAGAGACACCAAGATGTGTGAAGGCTGAACAAAATTCAGGAGGAATTATCCCTAGAGGAGCTTTTGAAGGACATTTATTGTTTGACTATGTTTTCAAATTCATGAAAAAATGTAGTTTCATGCCAAGATACATTTGGCATAAGGGGGCCCAAAATATGTAAAAGAGCAAAAAAAAAAACTTACTTATTTCATAGAGTTTATACCAAAACTTTAAGCTTCAGGTTATAAACAAACCCACTCACAATTAGTATTTACGTGCATGCAGGACATCTAACATGTGTGAAAACTTGATAAATCTCAGAAAAGAATGTGCTTAAGAGTTTTAATGATTGCTTTAAGAAAAGATTCATTTTCTGTTTTTGTTTTTTCCACAAACCAATTATGAGTGTGCAAAATGGCCCAACAAGGTGTGTGAAAGCTCAATGACTTCAAGGGAAACGCCCTGGTTGGGAGATTTTTAATGATGGCTATAATATGACTTCAAGCTTTCACTTTTTAAAGAATCATTCACGTTTCATGTCAATCTAATAACCTAAACATCTGGCTTAAAGCAAGTAAAGATGCATTTGGGCCCATCAGGATATGCAAATGGCTAAAAATATAAGAAATATACAATGACTTTGATATTACTTAACATTTTCTGATTTCACTATATATATATATATATATATATATATATATATATATATATATATATATATATATATATATATATATATATATATATATAGTTAAAGAGATGACTGATGAATCTAACATGAAGTTTCACTCCATCAGAAAACTCGGTGGCAGCAAAGTCAGGCGGCTGCTTCCCAGGCTCCTCCACGGTCACCCTGCAGGATGGGACCCAGATGGCGGTGAAAGACCTGCAGATGGGCGATAAGGTTCTAGCTGCGGACGGCCGTGGGAACCCGGTTTACACCGACTTCATCATGTTCATCGACCGAGACTCCGCCACCAGCCGGACCTTCTACGTAATCGAGACAGATTCGGGCCAGAAGATCACCCTCACTGCCGCGCATCTCATCTTCGTCGCGCACGAGAACTCCACGCAGTCTGCGGTGTTCGCGAGCGACGTGACACCCGGACAGAAGGTGTTCGTCCACGACGGGGAGCGGGATCGGCTCGTGGCTGTGAACGTGAAACGGATTTACACCCAACAGCACGAGGGCTCCTTCGCACCGGTGACGGCGCACGGGACCGTGGTGGTGGACCAGGTCCTGGCGTCCTGTTACGCGGTGATCGAGGACCACCAGCTGGCGCACTGGGCCCTGGCGCCGGTCAGGATCGCCCACTGGGTGTCCTCGTCGCTGTTCAGCTCCAGGCCTAAGGTCAGCGCGCACAGCGAAGGGGTGCACTGGTACTCCAAACTCCTTTACCAACTGGGGACGTGGATCTTAGACGACCACTCGATGCATCCACTGGGGATGTCAGCATATCCAAGCTGAAAAAACCCACAGGAACAGAATAAGACTCGAGTACATTCGATCTATCCAGTAGAATGACATATTAAATAATAATAAAATCAAAATAAACGGAAAAAAAGGACTGTGGATGAAAATTATTCAGGACTTTCAATGATGCTTCCCCTTCAGAATGATGGCCTTAAAAAAAGAAAAATCTCTTTGAATAATTATTCACGTGAACTCTTGCTGGTGTCAAGAAAAGGATGTGAACTGATGCGTAGAGAAATTGTGCAAATCATGTTTGTATATTCAACTGCAAAAAAATAAAGAAGTCAAAACAAGAAAAAAAGAAGATACAAAAGTGAAAAAAAATGGACAGAAGAGTCACTATACATGTGCAACTGACTGTTCATTTTGGGTACAGAAAAACTCGCGGTTCAATAATTATAGTTTTACACAGAATGTAATTGTTTGCAGCCGCATGTCATTTGGTGTTTTATTTTTCTTTCTTTTTTGAAATAGTGGTAACGATATGAAATAATTGAATTTTAAAATTCAGTAGCTTGAGGACAAGTATTGGAAATCTTGTACTGGTATTTGTTTTATTATTTATTTTGATGTCATGTGCCAATTACGTTTATTTGTGTGTGAGTGACGTTTGTTTCACTTCTCTGTTTTCTCTAGTGGGACAAATGTCAAAAAAAACTCCAGACTTTGACAATTAGAAACAGTATAAAGAAGTACTGAATACACTCGTAATAAATTAATAAGTAAAACTCCTTAAAGTACAAACCTGTGTTTATTTCTTTTATATTTAATACCTGAGCATAGTTTCTTCAACAAGAATAGATGACCTGCAGGCACGATGCACTTGTCTGAGTAAGTCTAGCCAAAGTGGCAACTTTCATACGGCGATGTGTAAAATGTCATGAGCTTTATCATTTATATTTTTTACAAATGAGATAAAGAAAATCTTCAAACTTGTAGTTGTCTTGTTAATATGCTCTAATTGTGGAAAGCCATGAGATTGAGATTGTTTTGCTTTTTTCTTTGATATCTTTATATATTTATATAAGCAAATGGTACAAATATGAACATTATAATGCTCTTTTTTATTCATCATGCCTTGTTGGATATTATTTGCGCTATTTGACAGAGGCTCAGAAGAACTGAAAACAAAAAAGCTGAATTTTGGGTTTGACCATACCTTTTCATGCTTGTGAAAGTTGAGAGCCCATGTAGAATTAACGAGCTTGCCACTCCATCAAAAACCGTGCACCCAAAGTCAGCGCTCCAGAGCTTAAACACGGACTCTGCTATGTGTACCATCGCTGTCGGCTGCTTGGAAAACACTGGTGTAGAAATATAGTCTAGCCAATCGACGGCCCCTAGTCGGAATAAATCTCTATAATCCTTGTGTTTATACACGATTATGGCGCATGTTTGGCGCTTAATGAGCCGCTTTAAGGCCGCTTCTTTCTAACATTAATCAGCCCCGCTGTATGGTCAGGGCCAGGGGTGACACCCTTGCTGAAACGGCATACTGCTGACTTGCGGATGAACAGGAAACTCACGTCAGTTCTGCGGCAATTATGTATCGTGAGCATCTTACTACCACGGACAGAGGTGTATCGTCCAGTAGGGATTGGATTGTGAATTATGGCATTCGCTAGTCTAGGTGAAAGTAGAAACGAATTTAAACAATAGCAGAACCCCTTTATTCCAGTGAGGAACTGCACTGGTAACGTGTGTGTTAAGAGGAATCATGATTTCAAGTGTCCTTATGCTGGAGGGAAATATGACCTAACTAGGTCTGATTCTTCCTGGCAGGGCAGGAAAAACCGCCCATAAGCATGACTAAGGTGTATCCAGCCAATGTCGGTGACTTATAGCTGAGGGCGAAGGAGTAGGACAACTAAAATGTATTCAAGTTTTCTTTTTACCACTGTGGACCTTGTCTGTTCAGACAAGACCAACTAACAATTCATTGCCTTGTGCAGCAAAAGCGAAACCTGTCAATCTCCTCAACCATACCTGATTACCAATAGAGACATTCAGAATTCTAATCCTCTGTTAGGAAAAGACATATTCCTGACCTAAAGTTTTCATAATTGAAAACTAACTGAATCATAAGGGGAAAAAAAGGCCAATGTATTAATACCTCTTATCTTTATGACTTATCATAGGCCCATCAAGAGGAATGATGCCTTAAAAAAAAAAAGAAAAAAAAATCTCTTGTAATTTTAATCTCATGTGAACTCTGCTGCTGCTGTCACAGAAATGGATTGTGAAATGATGCGAGCAGCAAATTGTGAATAATCTATTTTTGTATATCTCAACTGCAAAAAAAAAAAAGAAGAAAAACAAGAAAAAAAAAAGAAGAAAAAAAAAGAAAACAAAAATGGACAGAGAAGAAGATCACTATACATGTGCAACTGACTGTTATATTTTGGGGGTACAGAACAAACTTCGCGGGGTTCAATAAATTATATTTTTATACACAGAAATGTAAATTAGATTTGCAGCCGAATCATATTTCGTTTTTTTTTTCTTTCTTTTTTTGAAATAGTGTAAGATATGAGAATATATTTTAATTTAAAAAAATACAGTAGCTTGGAAAGTATTGGAAATCTTGTACTGGTATTTGTTTTATTTTATTATTTTGATGTCATGTCTGCAATTTCTGTTTTTATTTTGTGTGTGTGTGAGTTTGTTTCTACTTTCTCTGTTTTCTCCTGAGGGGAAACAAATGTCAAAAATAAACTGCAGATTTTGACAATTAAGAAACAGTAAAGATAGTACTGAAACAGCTTCGTTAAATAAATTAATAAGTAACTCCTGTAAATGTACTAAAATGTTTTTTTTTTCTTTTTATATTTTGTAATAGGGACATAGTTTTCTATAAATAGAAAATGACCTGCGGCAGATGCACATGTCTGGATAGTCTCTACCATACCAGTTAACTTTCATAACGGGGCGATGTGTCAAAAAATGTCTAGAGTTTATTATTTATATGTTTATTACAAAAATGAGATAAAGAAAATCTTCAAACTTGCAGTTGTCTTTGTCTAAATGAGCTCTACTGTGGGGGAAAGCCCAGCAGGATAGGATTGTTTTGCTTTATTTCTCTTATTATTTTATATATTTTATATAAGCAAACTGGGTGTCAATAATGAACATTATTAATGCTCCTTTTTTATCATCATGGCCTGTTTGGGGTTATTTTTGCGCTATTTGACAGAGCGCTCAGAAGAACTAAAAAAAAAAAGCTGAATTTTGGGCTTTGAACTACCTTTTGCATGCTTGTGAAATGTTGAGAGCCCATGTCAAATTTAACGAGCTCTGCCCTCTGCAAATAACTCCCCAACGTGCAGACAAATTAAACAGGAATCTGTTTGTTGTACCATCGCTGTCGGCTGCTTAGGGTCAAACACGGGCTGTAAGAAATATAGTCACCAAATCACCGCCTCACTTAGTCGGAATAAATCTCTATAATCCTCTGCTGTGTTCATACAGATTTATGGCGCATGTTTGGCGCTTAATGGGGCGCTTTAAGTGCGCTTCTTTGTTAAATTAATTCAGCCCCGCTGTTATTGGTCAGGGCAGGGGTGACACCTTGTGGTGAAACAGGGGTACTGCTGACTGCGGACTGAATATCAGGAAATATCTGTCTTCCTCCCAAATTATGTATCTTGAGCATCTTCTCCACGAATGATGGTAGGATCAAGCAGTAGATATATGGATTTGTAATTATTGCATTTCCAAGATCAGGTTGCAAAGTAAGAATAGAATAGAATAGAATAGAAACCCCCTTTTTATTCCCAATGAGGAAACTGTACTGTAAAGTGTAGTGTTAAGAGAGGAATCTATTTGATTTCAAAGTGTTCTTATGCTGGAAGGGAAATATAGACCTTTAAATTGGTTCTGATTCTTCTCAGGATGGGCAGAAAAAACCCCACCATAAAGCATGACTAAGGTTGAATCCAGCCATGTCTGGTGATTATAGCTGAGGGCCGGAAGAGTAGGACAACTAAAATGTATTTAGTCTTTTTTTTCCCTGCTTGACTCTTTCCCTGTTTCAGTACAAAGACCAACCTAAACAATTCTTGCCTTGCTGCAGAAAAGACGCTAAACCTGTCAATCTCCTCATCCATCCTGGCATTACCAAAAGAGGACACAGACATTCTCAAACTCCTCTGGTTGAGGAAAAGACATATTCCCTGACCTAAAGTTTTCTAATTGAAAACTAACTGGAATCATAGGGGGAAAAAAAGCAAATGTATTATTCCCTCTATGTTTTTATCTTCACTCATGGCCATCAAGTAGGAATCCTTAAAAGAACACAATCCTGAATAGGAGAAGATATAAAGATCTTTCTCTGTAATGGTCTGTAAACTCATCATTATAGATAGTGGAGCTTTATGTACAGTAAATACCCTTCAAAAATAATCAGTTGAGATGGTTGTGACTTCTGATTAGGATGCCTTCTGCAGAGGTTCCCCAAGCATATTCCACTAGGAGGAGATCAATATATAGTTCTGGCCTGCAAGACTTGTAGCAGGCTGCTGCTTCTGCTTTTGATCATGCTCTTTTCTGATGGCAGTGGGGGGAGTGAGTTAATGGGGGTCAAAACAGTTTGACAATCGTTAGTGCTCTATGTTTGGTTCAGCTCCCCTCACTGTCTTCTGCAGGGCTCACTCATCTGCCATAATAGAGCATAATAGAAACTGAACATTTCTGTTAGATTGTAATCACGCTGGTAGGGAACTGAGTGGATGGATACAATAAAGTATTACAAATTCTTGTGGAATAACTACATTTCTTTACAATTCAACACATACTTTTTTCATTTGTCCGTCTTAGCCAGTCAAATGCAAATACCTATATTTTTTAATTTCCGACTAAGTGAATAATACTAACTTATCATTGAGAGGGGAAAAACATACTTTGGCTACCCTTGTTAAAATTAGCAAGACAAACTGTTTATATAATTTCATATCCTCAAAAACCTTTTTTATTTAACAGGTCAGTGTAAGTGTTGGAAAAAAACACAAGTGGTTAAAAATGACTTAACTGCTACATTTTAGTTGAGTTACTATTGAAATGAAGCAAAATATTTGGGAGACCCGAA